CTGAGTGATATTCCATTGGATATATGTACCACATCTTCTTTATCCATTTGTGTACTGATGGATAGACACTTCAGTTGCTTCCATATCTTGGCTACTGTAAATAATGCTTCAATGAACATAGGGGTGCATATGGCTTTACAAATTAAGTGTTTTGGGTTTCTTTGAGTAAATATCCAAAGCTTTGCTGGGTCTTTCTTGTCTCTTGTTATAGCCTGTGTTTTAAAGTCTATTTTGTCTGATATAAATGTTGCTACCCCACCCAGCTTTATTTTTTTTTTCAACTTGCATGAAATCTTTTTCCATCCTTTACTTTCAGTCTGTGTGTATCTTTTGATCTGAAATGGGTCTCTTATAGGAAGCATATGTATAGGTCCGGTTTTATTATCCATTCAGCACCTTATGTCTTTTGATTGAAGCATTTAATTCATTTACATTTGAAGTAATTATTGATAGGTTATTGTCATTTTATTATCCATATTTTTGGTCTTTTTCTACTCTCTTCTTAAAGAAGTCTCTAACATTTCTTGTAACACTGGTTTGGTGATGATGAACTTTAGCATTTCTTGTCTGGGAAATACTTTATCTGTCCTGTTCTAAATGATAGCCTTGCTGGATATAGTAATCTTGTTTTTTATCACTTTGAATATTTCATGCCAATCTCTTCTGGCCTGTAAAGTGTCTGTTGAGAAATCAGCTGACAGTCTTATGGGAGCTCCCTTGTAGGTAACTAACTGCTTTTCTCTTGCTGCTTTTAAGATTCTCTCTTTGCTTTCAAAATTTGGCATTTTAGTTACAATATGTCTTGGTGTGGATCTCTTTGGGTTCATTTTATTTGGGACTCTCCATGCCTCCTGGACTTGTATGCCTATTTCCTTCACCAGATTAAGGAAGTTTTCTGTCATTATTTCTTCATCAAATAGATTTTTAATCCCTTGCTCTCTCTCTTCTGGTACTCCTATAATGCAAATGTTGGTATGTTTGATGTTGTCCCAGAGGCCCCTTACTATCCACATTTTTTAAAATTCTTTTTTCTTTTTTGCTGTTCTGATTGGGTGTTTTCTGCTACCTTGTCTCACAAATCACTGATTCAGTCCTCTGCTTCATCTAATCTACTGTTGATTCCTTCTAATATACTTATTTCAGTTATTGTATTCCTCATTTCTGACTGGTTCTTTTTGTTTTCTATCTCTTTTTTAAAGTTCTCATGAGTTCATCTACTCTGCCCCTAAGTTCATTGAGCATCCTTATAACCAGTGTTTTGAACTGAATCTGGTAGATTGCTGGCCTCCATTTTGTTTATTTCCTTTTCTGGAGTTTGGTTCTGGTCTTTCATTTGGCACGTGTTTCTTTTTCTCTTCATTTTGGCTGCCTCCCTGTGTTTGTTTCTATGTAATAGGTAGAGCTGCTACAGCTCCCAGTCTTGGTAGAATGTCCTTATATAGTAGGTATCTTGTGGAACCCAGTAATGCAGTCTCCCTTGTCACCTGCTCCAGCTGCTCCAGGTGTGCCCCTTGTGTGGGTTATGTGTGCCCTCCTATTGTAGTTGAGCCTTGGTTGCTGTTTGCAGGTGGAAGGTATTGAACCTCAGGCTGATTGGCTAGGAGAAATGACTATGAGCACAGTGAAAGAGCTGTTGAGCAGGGGCTGACCCCACAGAGCAGGATTTACTTTGGCGGGGCTCTGATATCTGCTGGATCTACCTTTTGGGTGTGTAGTTTGTGGAGATGGTTGGGTGGTGCTCTGGTATGGTCTGAAGCTGGCCGCTGGATATGTTGGTTCTGGGGCCTTTTGGGAGGGTCTCTAGTTCAGGCCAAGGTTAGATGCTACCTGTGCCCGGCCCAGGGCCATGTGGTATGAGCTACAAAGTGATCTGCAGATGATTGTCACTTGTGCTAGTCTTAGAGGCACCTACCTGGGAGAGTCTAAGCTGCAAACCAAGTCCCCCTGCCACTAGTGCCAGGCTTGGGTGCCGCTTAGCAAGAGGTACAGAGCACAGCAAGAACAGATGCTACTTGCTTTGGGTTTGTGAACCTTTGAGAGATTTTGGGAAAGTTTGAAGCCTGAGCTGAGACAGGCCATTTGTATGGAAAAACTGCTCGAAGTCCTTCGGTGAGCCCGCAAGTTGGATGGAACAGGGTCTCAGGGAATCACCAGGGCAGGGCAAATGGTGTTAGCCGGGTTGATGGGAACTCAGACTTGGAGCTTGCATGCACCTGCAGGCTTCACATGGGGAAGGCTCAACAAAGGAACAATGGTGTCTGCCAGCACTTCTGTTCAGGAGAAAGCTGCCCTTCCAGCCCTAACCCTGTAGCTAGACAATTTAGTTTCTCCCCATATGTCCCTGGCACTTTTTGAATTTCTGCCCCAGTGCTGGAACTCAGAGCGAATGAGTCCATCAGCGAGTAAATCCATGTGCCAGACCTTTAAGAGGAGAAACTAGGACTCCAACAGCCCTCTGTCTCAGCCATAATCTTCACTGGTTTTCACAGCCAGAAGTTATGTAGCCTTCTCTTTCCAGCACTGGAATCCTGGACTGGGAAGCCCGGTGTAAGGCTGGGACCACTTGCTCCTCAGGGGGGACCTACACAGCCAAGACATCTCTCCCATTTCTTAACCACCACACTGTATGGGACCAGTTTGTTCTGCAGCTCCAAGTAGCTTCTTCTGTATATCCTTAGTTATAGCACTTCTTTTCAACTGGTCTTCAGGAGGTTCTCAATGATGGTTCTGTAGTTTGGTTGTAATTTTGATATGGTCGTGGGAGGAGGCGAGAACAATGCTTAGTTACTCTGCCATCTTGACTGGAAGTCTCCTCAGTTTCTGAGTACATGAGTTTTAATTTATTAAATCTATAATTGTTTTATCTCTAAAATATTTAAATAAAAATGAAAACTAAAAGAAAATAATATGGAAAAGAAGATGGGTGCTTTTGTACCTTTTTTCATTTTCTTTACTAATGTTAAATTATTCATTCAAAAAATAGAACCAGGAGAAAAATTCAAAAGCTGAATCAGCACTTTGGAGATTTGTCTGTATTCAAAAGTTATTTTCTTTGGGGAAGCATGTAAGATAGGATCCAGTTTACTAATTGCAAGGCTTTGATGCCTATTGAACTATTTGGTTGACTCTTAGAGGAGAAGTAATCCTAGGGCTAAAACTTCCTGTGTTCTGTGTGGGCATCCCTCCCTCAAAGGCTCACTGACCCTTCCCTGCAGGCCTCATGTGAACTGGCTTGGAAGTCATTCCACTGCGGGGTGGGGATAGCAGCTGCCAGCAAACTGCCTTCCTTTCCCAGAAAGCCTGCTCCAGCCGCTTGCTACTCAGTCAGCAAGTCCTCATTCCAGGCTGCTGACCTTGGAGTTCTCCACCTCATAAACACAACCAACTGGGAAACTACATTCCTAAAGGAAATTCTCAGGAGAAATGGAAGATGAAAATTCCAACACATTCAGCAACATAAAACTATTTGCACATAGATTTTCCTACTTCCTGTGCCTCTGAGCTCCCTTCAAATTTTTCTGTATGTAGTTTTGCTTTAAGGTGTTGGAATAAACGTCTCCTTGATAGGCCTTAGTTCTGTGGTTTTCTCATGTGGATTCCTAGGGGAAGAGAGGACATCTAGCAGAGTGGATAAATGCAAAGAAGCTGGTCATAACTCCTTGTTAAGTTACTTAGTAAACCAACTTAGGATCTACTCAGACTTCTTGTTATGCAAGATAATAAAATTCTTTTATTATTTAAGCCACTTTTGGTTCAGTTGTCTGTAACAGATGAAGCATCCTAATTGTCATAGGATAGAAAGGAAACTTTGTTATATTTTCGAGAAAGGCTGGAGCGGTTAGTTATAGACAGAAGGCCTCTAGGGGCCCTCTTTAGGGCAGTGCTACTCAAAGTGTGGTTTAAGGACCTGCAACATCAGTGTTACCTAGGAGTTTGGTAGGAATGCAATTCACCTTACCTATCAAATCAGATTCTTTGGGGGTGGGGCTGGGAATCTGTATTTTAACAAGATCCCCTTCCAGTGAATTTGATGCAACTAAAGTTGGAGAAAACACTAACTCCTGCAGTTAGGAGTGTGATTGGTCCAAGAAGGGAAGTGCTGTGCCTCTAGCTCTTTGCTAACCTTCTGGAAGTTGTTCTAATCCTCTAGGCCTCGTTTTCCTTTTCTGTCACAACAACGTGAGAATCAGGTGAGGAAATGGGTGTAAAAATGGTTTGAGAGAGCTAAAATCTTGATTCCTAGGAGAGTCCCTGAGCTGATCCAGCTGAACTAGTGGACACAGCATCCTGGGCTGCAGACAGATGTGTGGAATCAAACCGGACTCCACCTCACCAGCCTGAGCTTCTTTGTGCAGGGCCTGTCTCCATCCGTGTGTCTAGGCGCCCAGTGGAAGAACTGGTATGAAGAGTGGAAAATGACTGTTATTCTTAATTGACTCATCTGCCCCTATTTTGAGTTTTCTTTTTCGGACTCCTATGATTGGCAAGGACTGGAAATCCAGGTTTTACCCTTGTAGCTTAAGGAGGGGCAGCCCATGCCATAGGGCTGCTCCTCCTGTCTTACCATCTCAGTGACCTCAGCGCCTCCTCCCCCACCGTCCCCACTGAAGAGACCTACCAACCCCTGCCCGGGATTTCCCTGGCCTTTGACAGCCGAGGAGGACCAGGACTCGCTGGCCTGGAGCCAGACGAACGACCAGGTCACGAGCTCTCTCGCCTCTCAAGTTACTAAGTGTTGCCCCCGATGCCTAAGCCACCGTCAGAGGCGGTGGCCGCACGAGTGCGCGCGCGCGCGCGCGGGTCCAGTGTTAGCAGGAGGAGAGGCGCGCCCGCTGGCCAGAGGGCCAATCAGAGCAGGGCAGGCAAGCGGCCGGCTCCAGCGGCCACTCAGGCGCAGGCTGACCGCGCTGCCTGCTCCAGGATTGGGCGAGCTTCCTGCCAATCAGGGGCGGAACAAGCGGGGGCTCGGCAAGTAGCAGGAGGCGACCACGTCAAGCCCGCGCCCCGGAGGTCTGCGCGGTGGCTGGCTGGCCAGTCGGTCGGCGGAGGGAGCGGCCGCCCCCAGGCACGCGCGCGCTGCGCTCTTCGCCCCTCCGCGCAGCGGTTCTGCCTCGTCGCTGTCATGCCAGGTGCTGCTCCGTACTAGCGCCGAGTACGCTGCCCGCCTGCCCAAAGCCGCGCCCACTGCCCAGAGCCAGAGGGATGGTGGTAGTCACGGGGCGGGAGCCAGACAGCCGTCGCCCGGCCGGTGCCATGTCCAGCTCCGACGCCGAAGACGACTTTCTGGATCCGGCCACCCCGACGGCCACACAGGCGGTGCATGCGCTGCCCCTGCTGACCCAGGAGGTACCTGGACTGGGAGGGCGTGGGAAGGGCTCAGGAGGAGAAGCAGGTGCTGAGTGGAGCTGACCTTGGGATATAAGCCCCACTGGGTTTGAGGGTCAGAGGTCGGGCTGAGGTGGCGCCATAGGAGCTGTGCTCCCCTGCCCTCCTGTCCGCCCCTGCCCCCGTAAAATGTACCAGGTGTCTCTTCCTTGCCCTAGAAGTCACCTGGCTCCCCAACGCCCTCTTTCCAGCACTTACTGCCTGCACGGTTACTTTACTCCCACCCCTCTGTCCCACCCTTATCAACTACAGAAGGGAGGGTAGGCCGTGGCTTGGGGAACTTGGAGCCCCAAGAGATGATTGTGTCTTCTAGAAAATCCCAAATGAGGACTTGGTGGTTGCCCAGACCTAATCTCCAGCTTCCCAGAGAGTGGGGTAAGGGATTGTGTGCAGATAAGAAGCAGAACAGCTGGTAGATGTGTCCACACTCACCTGACAACTCCCTTTTCCTCACTAGCTGCTGTACCGTGGTGCACGGTGGCTTCCGCTGGTCTTACTGTGTATGACAGCATCATATTAACACCTGAAATGCCCTGCAAGAGAAGAGAAAAGAGGAGGGCACTACTGGGCACTGAAGACAGAGACTAGAAAGGAGGAGCTAATATGGGAGCATGTGACCTTTGGACACCTAGGAGAATGGGCAGAGCCCCAGAGAAGGGCCGAACAGGGCTGGATGAGGGTTTTAGGAAGCAGATGGTGTCATCTGGGGGTTAGAGCCCATACCACTGACATCATGGGACACTTGTGAAAATGAGCAAAACTCTAGAACTACTCTTTGCAATTGGGGGAAAAAGAGTCTTTAAGAGACACAGGGGTACTGTTTTTTTTTGTGTGCACTGTCTTTGGGGACATGATGTGGTTTGAGGTAAAAAGCACAGGACCCAGAGACTATAGGCTAGGACTCCAGTGCCAACACTCCCACAGATTACATTGTCCATGTGAGATCTAAAACTGTTTTTGATTGCTTTTTCCTCTCTGCCTCAGTCCTTCCACGTTTAATGTGGAGCAAACAGTTAAATTGCTATGAGGTATCCTTGGGAAAGGTTTAAAGATCTCCAGAAATGTAAAGTATTATTATCCCCAAATAATATTCGAGTCTTTGGTATGCACATAAAGTAGTTTTAAAGGAACTATAGAATAAGCAGAAGGCATTTCCTGTCCTTTGAGTGCGGAAGAATAATAGTACATATATACATAGAACTGTGAACACTTTCTATTTCATTCATTCATTCAGTGCATATTTAGGTCTTTACTGTGAGTCAGGCACTGCTCAAGGTCATGAGTAACTTTTATTTAATGTATTTGTACCCTACTTTATTTCACAAATAATTCAAAAGTTTAGAAAAAGCACTGACTAGATACGTAGACTTTCACTGGAGTCAGAGAGATGTTGTAATATTGAAAAGTATGCACTGGGACAAAATTTTAGTTAATCTGGAGGAGGATTGTGAGAAATTAGAATTGGCTTCATTTCTTTCAAAATCACATGGAATGAAAGATATTAAAAGAAAGAAAGGAAGAACGGAAGGAAAAAAAGAAATGTCCTGAGCATTTTAGGAAGAACCTAGAGCTTCTCAAAGCAAATTTATTACATCATTCCCTATTCTTTACCCACCCTGGCTTCCAGAACCTTAGCTGGACTAGGGACTAATCTAACTCTACAGATTGAGAAGGAATTGTTCAACAAACATCCACAAGCCTTTCTGTGGGTGGCCTCATGATTGGTGAACAAGATGTTCTGCCCTCAGAAAGCTTGGATTCTAGTAGGGCGGGCTCACAGAAGAAATAATTGCCAATGTATTGTGCTAGGTACTACGATAGAGGAGAGTGCAGCATACATAGAAGGCACAATTTTGGAGGGATTGTTTAGTTAACTCTGTCTTGGGGTCTGGCAAGGGACAATACAGCAGAAATGCTCACAGAGTAGGGGAACTTGACTAGAAGCTCTTAGAATGAGTGGATGCTTCTAACCTATATGGTGCCTTGATGTGAATTAGAAAAAGAGCAGACATCTGGGATTGTAGATCACTCTCACCCAGGTGCCCTTGTGCAGGAAACAATGTATACCACTATATGGGACACTTGTATTTGCTAGATGGAAAAAGGGAGGGTGGTAAGAGCATTTGGACAGAGAATTCTCAACACCATGAGCCAGGGCATACAAATGGTAAATTCAAGAAGTGAAAGGACAGTGAAGGCTTCAAACTCTAGAGCAGAGATAGTAGGATTGGGGTAGAGAGACCTGAAGAGAGGAGCTATGGAGTGGGGGGTGGATAGAACTTGGCAACTGCTGAGTGTGAGGAAAGAGAGGAAAGAGAAGAGTGTTTAGAAAGACTCCTGGCTTTGGCTTTGGGTGACCAAATGAATGGGGAGACATTAATCAGATCCAAGAAGACTGTAGGTGGAGCAGCCCTGCCTCTCATTCCCCTTGCCTGGCTGAACATGCAGCTGTTCCTTTCCAGTTTCCTGAGGTTGTCCCCCTTAACATTGGAGGGACTCACTTCACCACACGACTGTCTACTCTGCGGCGTTACGAAGACACCATGCTGGCAGCTATGTTCAGTGGGCGTCATCACATCCCCACCGACGCGGAAGGCCGGTACTTCATTGATCGGGATGGCACACACTTTGGGTATGTTTCTCCCTCCATGATCAACTAGGCACAAGTCCTAGCAAGTGAGTGGCCTGGGCTTGATTATGGGGCTTCCATAGTATCTAGAAGAGATAACATACTGACAGAGTCTAATAAATGTTCTTATTGAATTGGATCGAAATTCTTAGTTCCTTTCCCAGAGGAGACAAGGACAGCTGGAGAAATCCCATGTAACACACACTGGCTGGATGTGATGAAACTGCTTCTATCCTATTTAACTATGAAGTTGTCATCTGTGTGGAGAGGAATGGGCGTGATCCTACCTACAGGTGGGAGAGTTCCAAAACAAGTTCTTGGAGAATACTCTCAGATCAGATTCTGGAATTCAGCGTTGCCGTTACGGAAAAATCATGGTGTGTGGCAGTGATTCCCAGACTTTTTTCAGGGGGTTAAAACAAAGAACGTGAGGGAAGGGCTAGCATAGCATTGCCATCCTTAACCTTGCCAAGAAAAGTCTTAAAAAACAAAAAAATCTTAAATTATCACTGTTATTTTAACTCTGAAACATGAAAAGACACAATTTCAAAAATAGCCCTTCCCAAGAAAGGACTTCTGATAACCTTACACATACAAAATTTAAAGACTTTTTAATTTCAGTTTCTTTGTTTCTGAAATCAGAAATAATTATAGCTACCTCATAGGCCTGTCATGTGGATTAAATCAAGAGCCTTGATATGACCCCTGGCCAGGTCCTTTCAGAGTATATTGCTGAGCTCTTTTCTCCTTCAGTCTAACTTTGGAAATGACTAAAGAACTAACATGGTCCTTGACCTTGAACAAAATGACCTGGGAGGCAGAAACTCTCTAACCACTACATCTCTGTACAACCTCCACATAGGATTTTCCACATTGGGAGAAGGGTCATTTTATTCTCAGAGAGGAGCCTCAGGTCAAATAATTTGCTTTGAAGCATCTGGGCTATCAGCTCTTTCTAATGCTGAGAAAACAAAGTGTCACATTGCTCTGCAAAGCTATAAAAAGGTTTTTGTTTGCAGACTGTTTAGGGGAGGAAAGTGTTGGCTCCAGCTGGCAGCTCCCACAGGACTCTTAGCTAGGCCTTGCCTTGGGGGTATGTTTTTCAGAGCTCACCAAGGTTTGCTTAAGATCCTAGAGCAAGGATCCCCAAACTTTGCAGGTCAGTGGCCTGTTAGGAACTGGGCCACACAGTAGGAGGTGAGTGGCTGGCAAGCAAGAGAAGCTTCATCTATATTTGCCACTCCCCAGTGCTAACATCTCTACCTCAGCTCCACCTCAGATCATAGAAGCACCAGTCCTTGATGCCAAAAGGGTTGGGGACCGCTGTCCTAGAGGACCAATTTTAAAAGGAGTTGTGGGAGGGGGAATATAGTTTGGATGTGGGCTGATGTACCCTTAGCCAGGTGGTCACACCTGGTAAGTGGCAGAGCCTGTCAAGGATGTGGTAGAAAACAAGATACTGTGGCATTTATCCTCAGACTACTGGACTCCAGTGGCCTGTGATTCATTAGCAGCAAATGAAGTTGCTGAAAGACTCAGATAAAGTAAAATAGGAGTTTAGGGCATTTGGTGGGGTAAATTTCTCTGTTGGTGTGCCTCACATACTCCCCCACAACCATGGAGGCCTGGGCCTCCACTTGGGGTGGTTTCCCATTGTGATCAATGCAGAGTGCTTTTGGTCTAAAGTCTGGACCACTGTGAATGTGAGCTTGGATTTACTATGTCTGTATCTGAGCCCTTGGCTGGCAGTGGTTCCTTGAGCAAGGGTGTTCCTTAACCTCTTTGAGCCCCAGTTTTTCTTCATTTATAAAATGGACATAAGATAGCATTTATCCAATAAAGTAATTGAAAAGATTCAATAGGATAACACATAAATAGTGGCTGACACAGTTAATAGTGAGGATTAGCTGGTGTTGCATTATGTGTATAGACTAACTATGGAGGTAATGGCTTGATCTTGTGGTTTACTCACATATCCTTACAGAAAAGCCCTTACCATATCTACCAGTGATGGATCTGCTTACTCTTAGCACTACAGAATCTAAAAAGAATTCAAGGAACTGAATTTTTATTTTAAGAAAATGCAATATGTGATTTTATTCACTCCTGAAACCAATTTGTTCAGGTGTTAGGATCAGGCATTTGATCTCCATATAGCTACAGAATAATACTAATGACAAGGATATATAGAAGATAACTTCTACATTGTTAGTGGCAGTGTAAATTGCTATAACCACTTTGTCAAATATGCACTATGATAGAACAACTCCACTTCTAATTTTTACCCAAGAGAAATTGGTACACGTGTCCACAAAAAGTCTTATATAGGAATGTCCGTCAGAGCTTTACTCATAAGAGCCCCAAACTGGAAACTTCAAATGTCCATCAACAGGAGAATGGGTAAATAAATTATAGTACGTATATCCATCCATACAGCGATATGCTACATGGCAATAAAATGCAACAAACTACTGTTACACACAACATAAATCCCCAAAACATTAGGTCGAGGGAAAGAAGCCAGGCACAAAAGCAAACATATTGTATGATTCTACTTATTTGAATTTCAAGAAGAGGCAAAATGAATCTTTATTGATAGAAGTAGAAATAGAGTGGTTGCCTCTGCAGGGTTGACTGGAAAGAGGCACAAGTAAACTTTAAGGGGATGGAAATGTTCTATACCTTGAGCTACGTGGTGGTTATATGAGTATATTCATACTTAAGAAGTAACTGAATAGTACACCTAAGATTTGTACATTTATTGAGTATTAATTATATCTCAATTTGAAAATATATTAAGAGCTGGTAATCTTTCCACTATTCCTATATATACCTAATAATAACAATACCTAATATTATACCTAATAATAATTGTAATTATAATAATAATACTAATAATAACAACTGCTAACATTTCTTGAGGGCTTACTTTGTGCCAGGTATTTTCTAAGCACTTTTTATATACTAACTCATTTAATCCTCTCATAACATTATGGAGTAGTTTTCTTATTTTCCCCCATTTTACAGATGAGAAAATCAAGGCCAAAAGGTTCACTTACCCAAGATTACACAGCTGCTAGTCCAGTTCCAGATTCTGTCCTCTACCCACTATTTGACACTGCCCAGGTCTATTAGCTCCTCACCAACCTTCTTTCCTTCCTGCTCAGAGATGTGCTGAATTTCCTGCGCTCTGGGGACCTGCCACCCCGGGAACGTGTGCGGGCTGTGTACAAGGAGGCCCAGTACTATGCCATTGGGCCCCTCCTGGAGCAGCTGGAGAACATGCAGCCACTGAAAGGGGAGAAAGTACGCCAAGCATTTCTGGGACTCATGCCCTATTACAAAGGTGAGGGGTGAGCTGTCCAGGGCAGTCAGGGTGTGGGGAAGGAGGCTGCAAGGCACCTGTCAGTGCTTAGCTCTCCACCAGATTAGGTGTGTTACTCGGGAAAGAAGAGAGTCCCACTCCCCTTCCTACCCTCTTGGTCACTGGGAAGACACAAAGGAAGTCTACCTCACCTGTGACAGTCATCGAATCACACTTCAAAAGGACAGTCTTCATCCCATTGCATTGGTTTCCTTTTGCTCTGGACATCCCTGTTTAAGTTTGTATCCTACATAGGCTCACAGAGTCCCTTCCCCCAGGAATCTGCCTCTTTCCTCTTAGATCCTGCCATTGTTGGGGCTCTCTTTGTGCCCTCCCACTGCCTTGCCTCACTCCCCGCCTCCCAACCCCCACCCCAGTGATGGTTGCTATATTCACTCCCATAGACCATTTGGAGCGGATTGTGGAGATTGCCCGGCTGCGCGCAGTACAGCGGAAGGCCCGCTTTGCCAAGCTCAAGGTCTGTGTCTTCAAGGAGGAAATGCCCATCACCCCCTATGAGTGTCCACTTCTCAACTCTTTACGCTTTGAGCGGAGCGAGAGTGATGGGCAGCTATTTGAGCACCACTGTGAAGTGGATGTATCTTTTGGGCCCTGGGAGGCTGTGGCTGATGTTTATGACCTGCTGCACTGCCTAGTCACGGACCTCTCAGCCCAGGGCCTCATCGTGGACCACCAGTGCATCGGGGTGTGTGACAAGCACCTCATCAACCACTACTACTGCAAGCGCCCCATCTATGAGTTCAAGATCACATGGTGGTGAGTAGTCCTTGTAGGAAACCAAACCCCTTCAGGGAAGGTATCCATTGCCCTTGGTGGCTCTGGCAGTAAGGTCCCTGGAAGGGCTACTGACTTCCCCAGAACCTGCTGAGGTGAGGACTGAGTCTGGAGGCACAGCTCCAAGTGCACAGGTGCAGCTTGGGTTCAGGCTCAAGGCTTGTGGCCCACAAGACTTGGTGCCTGCACTCACCTGGCCTTTCCTCCAGACACAGCAGTCTTTGCCTGAGGCTGATGGAGTCTGGCTTGCCAGGACTTGACCAGGAAGTCCAGAGCAGTTTCATCATTTTTCTTGACCTTACAAGAGTGTCTGCCCAGTTTAGAGCCACATTAGCATACTAATGTAGGAATAATCACTTCCTCAACCCTGTTCAGGTATTCCTTACTTGTTCTCAGTGTATAGGTATGAACACAGAACATAATGGGGGATTTGTTCAAGTAGCTACCCACAGCCCATGGCTGAAGAAGGAGCCTCTTCTTTCCCTCTCCTCCAAGAGTAGTCCCAGGCTTTGTTTTAGGATGTGAAAAGACTCTTCCTTCTGAAACATACTCTTTACCACTTTTTGGAGATAGAACCATAGTTGCCAAAACCATGCACCAGGTTGGCCTTAGAAAAGCACAATGTTTACAGCCCTGCTTTGGGCCTTGGCTTCTTCTATCTTCCACCAACTTTCCTTGCTTGAAGGGTTATCTTCTCACAGGGCTGGAATGCAAATTTCAGAGGCACCTTCTGAAGAATCTCTAAGTCAAACAGGCAAGATGCCTGGATCTGTTAGCTTCAAGATGTAACATCCTTTCTATAGGCTCAGAATACCTCTTTGGCTGCTATTTCATGTGGCAGGATTCAGTTTCTGGTAAATTTTGGATGGGAATCCCCTCTTTTTTTAAACCTTGTTGCTTTATCCTGCTAACATTCTCCTTCCAGGAGAGTGTCTATCCTGGAGAAGTAAAGAAAGAGCTGGGTGAGAGGCCCAGCTATCCCAGGAGCTGTAGGAAGACAGCAACAGACCTCCATTATGTTTTACAACCCATGTTTCAGAGAAAGAAAAGGATCCACAAGGTTCTGCTCCCACTACATTTCCTTCTTGTTCTGTCTGCAGCCTGGGGCAGCTAGGCAGGGAATGGACACCCATCTCCTAATGGAAGGACCAGTAATTACAACAGAGCATTTCTTGTGCTGCAGTAAGGGCTTCTCCCTGTAATCATGATTGTACTTGACTTTTTCTGGGTGTCCATGTAGGGAGATTTTTTATATATGAAAAGCTGGTGAGGAAAAGCTAGACTTACGAGACCAGAGTGGTGAAGTAGGGCGAGGATGAGCTACAAATGGCTACATCTTTTTGGGGAAGAGAAGGCCAAGCCCTGGGACTTTGGCTGAATTCTTTCACAGGGCAGTGACCTCCTGGCCCTTGTGTGGGAACAGAGATTCCAGGGCATGGTTTTACATTCTTACATTGTATTACATGGGTAGAGCAGAGATACAGACTGAGATCTAAGAGGAAAGAACAGTCAGTCATCCTGGTTCTGAGATATGTGTTCTATTGTTCTCATCTACAAATGGATTATCACTTGGAACTTAGCCCAGCAGCATAGCTCTTGCCTTGTTCTAACAGTAAAGTCTTTCATTTAAGTTGCTCTGATTGTTGTTACTGCCTAATAGATGTTCATTTTTTAACAGACACCATGGCAAGCTATTCAGGAGAAAGTCAGTATGAGTAGAGAGCAGATAAGAAAGCCCAATGTTTTCAGTAATGTGGCCCTGACCCCTTCTCTTTACTACCCCCAGCATAGAGCATCACAGCACTTGATTATTTAAAGTCCATACATGTAAGATGGGGAGTGGCTGGTTTGCTCAAATGCAGGTTTACTCAAAAAAAGTCCCTGAAGACTTGCTTGGAGCTACAGATGCTGGATAAGGCACTGTCTGTGTGCCTCTTGCTAGAGACACCCACTTTCTCTGTCCCTCCGTGATGTTTTCAAGGAGGTGTGCTCTGTACCATCGTGGGGAGACAAGGCTCTGGGCCAGTAGACCAGGAAAAGCAGGAACGTGTCCAGCTTAGAGCTCTTTCTATATGGAATAAAAGAATTCAGTGGCCCAGTTTGGCCATTCTCTGATGAGAAGCCAAAGCTAGTCTGAAAAGTGCTGTTTGATGTGGTGGTTTGGGGTAATGGCCTCCAAATAAATGTCATCTCTGAGGAAGTGACTTCTCGTGGGATCCTTTTTTAGCTCTAAATGGCCAGGCCCAGAGCATAAGAAGCGTTGGGTCAGGAAGAGGGTTCCAAAGGATGAATGCTTCTCCCTTATTGAAAGGAAGTATATTTTCATAGAATTCATGTGCACGATGCCAATAAATGCCTCTCATCCTGACAAGGGACTAGATTCATTCTGCCATGAGACTGGCCAGTAGTTTTCAGTGGGTCAAAGTGCCTGCCTTTGGGGCTTCCCTTTTGATTTTGGGTACCTTTTCTCCCGGGTACCATGCTCACTGATTGGGAAGATGAAAATTTTAGGAGATAGGACTGTATGGTGCAATGCTAACCATAACAAAATTCAATGAAAATGAAAAACTTAATGGCAACAAAAAAGACTGAAACAAAACCACAGTGAAACACATCACACCATTCCAGGTGGAAGAATTCTTTGGGTAACACTCTAAATAGAAGAAATAGAGGAATCATCACCATCCTTATTCCATCTCTGGTTAATTCACCAGGCTGTCCAGTGCTTATCATTTGGAAAGTGGTCAGTTGTGCTCTGAAAGCTTCTGTTCTTTTTTCCTGGGGCTTAGGATATTCTGGGAGCCGTCTGAGCCTTGTGCTTCCAGCTGATCAGGTGTTACAATCTTCCTGTTCTGAGTTGCTCATTGGAAGACTAGGAAGTTGATATTTGCAAGCCACAAAGTGGGGTGAACCTCAGTGTGTGATCTGGGTCTAAGCTGGATCCTGAAGAGGTTAAGATAACAACAGAACAAAAAACTATTCACATTGAGCATTTTGATTCCAGTTAGAATTTCAAATATCCTTCTGCATACTTTCTGTCTATATTTGGTTCTGATATAAGTGATTAAGCTTTCTTGGGTACCATTTTGCTGGGGCTCTTTCATGAAGGTGGTACCTGCCTTATGATCCTTAAAAAGGAGGCTTTATTCATCAGAAGCCAGAGTATTGGGAACTGTGGTGGGAGAGGCACTTTTGGAATTCTGGAAGAAACATATATGTATACATATGTTAATTGGGGGAAGGGTGGATTGGGGGAGGTGGTAACAAATACTGGGTATAGGAACAGGTAGTGCCTCTGCAGTGTGAGAGGTTACTTTCTGTATGGTGTTGGTTTGTATACATGTAATAACACTTCCTGTGTTTGTTTGTTACCTGTCTGTGAGCACTTTGGTGCATGGAGCCTCAGTTCCTTCACATAGCATTAAAGGCAACAATGAGAACCTGGGTGCCGTGCCTTTCTTTTTTAGAGACTTACTTTCATCCTTCCTCACTCCCCCCATTTTGCCAGCAAATATGTCTTGATTTCTACTTAAAATGTGATGTGTTTGGGGTGCCATATTAAATTAAATAGGCTCTTCTCTGAGAGTAGCAGCTGAACTTCTGCCCTGACGAAGTTGACGACAGGTGGGCCCCATGAAGGTCTTTCGGTAGTTACTCTAACCTTGTCTCTGCTCCAGGTAGGAGTGTGCCCACTTAGCCTAGGCAAACAGCTCGGCCCTTTTTTGTTGAGAGCTCTCCAGGGGAAGAAGATAGCACAATTGCACAGTCACTTATATGGCTCACAACCATGTCAGTAATTCTGACAGAAATTCCTCCTGTCAGATCACCCAGTAGGAGATAAGTGACTCCAAGCTTCTGTGAGCCTCAGTGGGTAAGACCCTGCCTTGAGGAAGATGAGTGTAAGTTGCCCTTCCTCTGAAAGCAGAGTTTGACACCTTTCTGGCTAATGAATGTCCTCATCAAGATGCCCCTTGGTGTCACTCATGAATTAACCTGGAAGGGTGAGTTCTGAAGTGCTAGGGATCTATGTCACCCTCCAACTGCTTCCCTTAAATCTCTGATTATTCTAACTTTCAGATAAAAACACTGCATCATCTATGCCAAATGTATTCCTTGACTTAATTACTATGCACATACTTACACAGTAATAATACACTAATAATACCTTACAAGTTGGAAACTGAAGCTCATACAGGTATGATTTCCCCAAAGGCACATAGCTTGTAAGTGGCAGAGTCAGGATTCACACCCAGAGCCCTTTTCTGAAATCCTCATGGGTATTCAACAGCAGAGCCCTCCCATTTAGGAGTGCAGCATTCCACCTCTGAGGCTTAGGGCTTCACCCTGCCTGGCTTATAAAGATTTGAAAAGCAAATACTCTAGAATAATATTAGAAAGACTTTCTTAGATATGTAGGTCTTAAGTAGCGCTGAGCATTAAGAAAATAGGTAGGGTCCCCAATGTCCACTTGGTGGAGAAGGTCCCTGCTCATGGGACAATGAGTGGAGAATAACTTAACAGGTGAGTAATGACTCCCTGGCTGGACACTGTGATGGGATGATACAGGACAGCCTGAGTTAATCAGACTCCTGCAGTCTACAGGTCTCATTACACTGATGTGCTGTGCAGTTTGAGCATGTGGGGAGGTATGCCCAAAGGTGATGGCCCTCCTTCAGGGCCCCCTGGCATGAAGAGAATAATTGATACTCTAGCTCAGGGAGCATTACATACCTGGCTTGGGGCTCATGGCCCTTGGACTCTGGGTCTCTACCCTGCCTGTGTATTTTTTGTTGTCGTTTTGCAGATGACTTTTTAGCTGGCTTTACTTACTTTTCATTTTGATTTGTTTAACTTATAGCCTGTTTTATTAGCTTTTATTTACTTACCTTTAACTTTCTGTCTGATTCCTGACTGTTATGTTTCTCCTATCTTATACTTTGCTTTCTCTATTTTTTAAACTTTTTTTTTCCTGAGCTTATGTA